TACCTCCATTAAATAAACCAACCAACCAGATTACCCCCCCCCCCAAAATCTACAGACACCTTATTAGAATTAATAAGTGAATTTTAGTAAGGTCACTGAGTGCAAACCAGTATTAAAAAATCACAATGAATATATATATTATATATGTATTTCAAATAAATAAATTTCAAATAACATCACAGAACATCAAATATCTAGAAATAAAATGAATAAAAGATGTATAAGACTCAAATAAGACAAATATAATCCATTACTGAGATAAAGACATAGGCACATGCATGCAGTGTACCCATATACACCGTGTTCATGGGTTGGGGGATTTAATATTACAAAGAAACCACAGTTTCAATGCAGTGGCAATTCCCAATAGATTTTTCTGGTGGGAATTGACAACTGATTTCTAAAATACATATAAGGAAAAGGTAAAGAAGAACCTAAACAAACAAGATGGAGGGCATACACTCAGACATCAAGACATATCAAGATACAGAATAATTAAGACAATGTACTGCTGGCATAAAACAGACAACAGGGCCATCAGAACCCAGAAATCTACCACACACAGAATCCTCTGAAAAGGTGATCTTTTCAAAAAATCATCTTTTTTCAGTAAATGTTACTAGTCAATTAGATGTCCATAAAAGGGGGGAAAAATTAATCCTGATCCTCACCTTCCAAGCTGCACACAAAAAAATAATTCTCTAGAGTGGAGAAAACATTGGCAATACAAATACTTGACAAAATACGCATTTCTAGATACATAAAAGACTTATAAATAAATTCACTGTTTGCTTAGCAAACGTATGCTAAACAAAGCACTGTTCTATTTTTATTTTACAGATGGCACTAGCATTTCATCGTCCCTTCATTTACCCAGGATCAATCCTCGGCGTTTGCTCTGCTTGCCTGCTACATGTTCAGTTTTTTCAATAAGGTTTGTCAATTCTGTTTTCTCAGTGTTGTTTACCTATACCTTCTTCTTTCTATATTACCTTTTCCATTTTTATTTCCAGAGTAAATTCTCCTGGAATTTATTTTTACGTTTTCATGTAAGAGGACTTATAAACCAAGGGGTTCTTAACAAAAACAGGAAACATTCTAGGTCTTTGTACTTACGTTAGCGGTCTCTGGGTCGCAATGATATAATCTGGCCTTCCATTTTTATAAACTAAGCGTGCATTTGACTGTACCCAAGCCCATCGATTGTCTTTCGTAAGAAGCCTGAACACTACCATTCCACTCTCTCCAGTCTTAATCACTGAAATAAAATTTAAAAATTAAATTATTAAGCCCAAGATCATCACAATAAAGAAAATCTCTGAAACAAAGCCCTACTGAAATATTTCTGGATGTCACTCACGTTATCACCAAAGAAGATAAATATATTGACAACTTTTAAACACAGCATTACAATGCATCAAAACAGTTCTTCAGCATTGTTATTTCTTCCCATTTCAAACTAAATTGTTTATGTAAATTGCTAAAAGAAAGATTAAGTCAGACAACTCTAGTAACATGTGACACTAGAGAGAGAGAGTATAGAGGTTGAGGGGAAAATTACTTCCTGTTTAAAAAAGGAACATTTCCTACAGCTTAACATTTTACTATACAATTTTTAAGTATAAACTGTACTAACAAATATATGTATTGAAACTGCCATAAAAAAATTGGGGAAAATGGTCACTTTCATACTAAGTAAAATACTATAATCGCGTGTGGCAGCTGTGGAGCAGTTAAGTAATAAATCGAGACGTATACTAGAGCATATGCCATTTTTTCAGACACGTTCAGAAGGAACAACTCACTGCGGATATGGTACTCAGCGCAGTACAGCATGTCCGCGGCATGAATAAACTGATACCCTGATCCTCTCATGCGCAGCTCTGCTTCCGTGTAGCCTAAAACGATTTTTCCTCTATTTAAAAGGCAAAACAAGACTGAAATTAAAATTGAACATAATTGGAAGTACCCAACATATGCACTTTGTTGACATTCAAAATTTCACATTAGCAGGTAGAAGCATTTCTGTTACTGTTTTCTTTTGCTGGTAGCTGCAAATGTCAATTTTAGACTATTTCCTCCTCCTAAATAAAGACTGAAAATTATAAATGAATCTAACTGGGCAGATTATCTTTAATTAAATTCTAGAATCGATTTTGAGCCACAGTTTCTCAAACCTGTCTGCATTCCCGTATAGGAAGGAGAAAAACAATAATATGCTTTGGTCGCTAAGCTTCCAGGGCTTAAAGCCAGTTTGTACACTTAAAAAATGTAAAACAAGCCAACAATCAGTGTCATCAGGATACTGAATCTTAATCATCAGCTCTATGATACAGAAACTGGCAAGTACTGTAAAAAATTATAAAGTACTAAGATGATTTGTGAACGTGATATTTTAAAATGCTATGCTAAAAAGTATGAAATAACAATAGCTACTATAATAATAAACTAATTATAATCTACACTCTGGTTTACATGCTAAGATAGACCTGCTGCAACAAAATATACATTTGGTGAAATAAAACTGAGAAAGTTTCACTTACTTGGCATCACAACCAGTGGGCGTAAAGTCTAGTTTGTGCTTGGTTCTAAAGATGAAATTTTTGTTGCGGATTTCGAGTATGGATGGTGGCTGAAGCGGAGTAGCTATTGCAAACAAAGCCAACTGAGGCGGAAGTACTGATCCGTCTTTCCCCTTCTTGTTCTGTCCATGAAGATACTTTAACCTCCCTTGGAAATTCATGGCCTTAAAAAACCATAAACAGTTCATTAAAATTAATGCTTTAAAATGGTTCCTTCTAAATTGTGGCCATTTCCAGTGTTGCTGATAATTCCATAAAAGTTCCTGAGGCTGACAAATGCTACTTTAATTCCTTTCTCCACAGGAAGCCCATTAAAACTGTCCTGGAAGGTAGTATGAGGACTGTCCTCAAGGGACTGGTAAGTGACCCACTCCTTGCTTTTCAGCGGTCACAACAGGAAGACCTACGGAGTCTTCTGAGCTTGCAGCTGCCCTGCTATCCATGCCTAGCTCTGCTTCGTGCACACCAGACACTCAAAATGTGTTTCCTGAATGAACTAACAGTGATAAAGTCCTCAAATACAGATTAATTTTCAAACAAACATGAGCTATATTCCATAGCTCAGAGTATATTTCATAACTCATGGTAATAGAGCTAAAACACAATTTTTAAAGAAAACATTAAAATGAATCATAAAATCATACAAAGAATGTAGAACTCTATAGAGGAAACAAAGACAATTTAAACATGACCATGATCAACTTAAATTGCTTAAAACATTTTTAACCAGGCCAAGGGATAATTCTGGCATCAATATGATAGCAGCACAAGGAAGAGAAGGCCCAATGACACAAAGAAGTTCTACCTCAGAAATACACACTGACTGATCATCAGTACTAGGAAAACGATCTTAAAGCACAGTATTAACTCAGCAAAATTATCTTCAGATATAAACGTAACAACTAAAATCATTGTTTACTGATGCTTAAGATTTGATCATCTGTTTCAAATCCCTGATAATTCACAAAAGTAATACGCAAAATGCTTTGTATTTTCTTCTGTGCCTGTGGAGCGCGCTACCTTATGGATACAGACAACTGAGAGGCCAGAACACCTGCACTCTTCACGTCCTGCTTAAATTGCTCCCTGGTTATCCTAACTCAGGAGTTCACACTATACAACAGTGTCTCATACCACACAAGGATTCTGCAATTATGAATATACAACCATTTTCTATATAGCAGTTATTCTAGCCATGTGAAAAAGGCCATGATAATTTTTCTGCCTAGCAGGCATCACATCCAAAAGTAATAAGCATTCTCCTGTTAAAAGAGGGCTACATAATTCTCTATCTTATACCTAAAAAGTCCTAAAAAGGGCAGTATACAGGGTTTCATTTCATTTCACTCAGTCTTTGTTACTGCATCCTAAAAGATAGAGATTTTGAGTTATAAAAGATACTTTAAAAAATCTAGAAAGATTTTTGAAGTTACTTTCCTTTATTAAATAATTTAATAAAGTAGATTTTTATAAACCAAACTCTAAAATAACCAAATTAAATTGATTTCACTTTTCTTTTTTAGTTTCTAAAACTTTGGCACCTTACCAGAAAACCAGATGAATTATCCAGGAGACACCTTAGTCGGCAAATGAAGCACCTCTCCATAAAAGAGTTTTCTGGAGGAAGCTGGTCGGGGTCATAATAGCCACCTGGCTGTGGGAGGCCATTAGCTTCTGTAGAAATAACAGCAACACAAATTGACTTTCCATTTTGCTATAAAATTAAGTGTTTGAGAATAGCTAAAATTTGTTAATTTCTAAACAAGTCTGAATGCAAAAAAAAAAAACAAGTTAATAAAGAGAAATTAAAACTTACTATTTTACTACACAGAACTTTACCTATTCAGTTGGTTTTTGTTTCTACTGACTATCACTGTCAACAATTTGCTATTTCTTAATGCCTTTTTTCTTTTTAATACTTTCACAGACATGGGAAAACACTGCTAGCAAGGAAAATATTTTTTATCCTTGCACATGCTAGTCTGCTTTTATATTTGGTGCATTTAAACACAGAACAATTTATACACAATTATTAACCTTGTACATTCCTTTCCTTCTTTCACAACAGATTCAGAGTTATTTTATAAAATGTATTACTTAGTCTATGATAAAGGCCATCATCTGTTAAGATATTCCATAGGTCACCAGGCTCTGTGTGACGTGGCTCAGGTCTACGGTTACAGATTTCTGTCTTTTCCCTTCTTCCCAACCTTTACTGTGGAGTTCTGTGCCCCTAAAGGTTCTCTGCCTCCTCTGACAATCCCCAATGCTAAACATTCTTACCATCGATTCTTTGCCCAGAGTCCGGACACTGTGAAGGATTTAATGCCCAGTGCAACTGGCGCTGAAATTCAGCTCGGTCTTCAGTATGGATAAGTTCATACACACTCTGATGGATGACATCAGACTAAAGAAAAAAGATATAAGGAAATTAATAAGAAGTACTGATTTTAGGGAAATGTGGCTTACTAATTTTAAAACCTAGCTAGGTTAGTGGATGCTTGTTAGTGATGATGGATGCATGCCATATGATTGCAAAGCTCTCCAGGCATCCAAGATAGAAGCAACTAGAAAGAGACTAGCACAATAACTGACAAGCTGAAAGTTATCTGCCATCACTTCCCTATGTGAACACTTTTCAGTCAAATAAGTCACCTCCCCATTCCTTAACTGCAGTCCATTAAGTTCTGCTGATTTTTACCCATTTATTGATCTTTCAAAATCCTACTTTAGGAAACCTTGTCTGAACATCCAGTTACACTTAACTTCTCTAAGCTTCACAATATTACACATTTCTGTCACCACTAATAATTTTCTTTATATGAAATTTTTACTTCTAGGAGATTCCATAGGGTAAGGGATGATGCTTTTACCAGGTCAGAATTGTTCCTCCACCTCCGGCCTCTCAGCATTTACTAAAGTGCTGAGCCCGTAGCCCTTAAACCAGAATTGTTCTTTTTTATTATAACTCATGGCAAGAAATACATCTTCCATCAATTATCTGTGTTTGTGTGTGTATACATACACACGTGGGAAAAAGCTTCACAGAACCCCTCTTTTATGTGTGACAATACTGTGTATTCTGTTTCATTTTAAGCAACTATAAAGAATGACTGATGGTGATCCATTGTGTCAATTTCACCACCAATGAATCACAACCTGTAGTTTTAAAAATGGTGCCATAAACCACCACCGATGTCAGATATGAATGTTTTCTTAATGAATATCCATGTTACGTGTACATATGACGAAGAAAACAGCTTGGGAAACACCTAATCTTTCTGACTTCTTAACTGTTACGACTCATATCAAACTATAATTAAGCTAGTTATATAATTAAGTTTCAAAAAAGCTTTTCCATGGACATTAGTATATTTTATTTAAGTTTCAAGAAGACTGAAAAAGGCTTTGTAGCACAGCCAGATTCTACCATTTAGCTGTCTAGACTTAAATCTCTCTATGAACTTAATCTTCTAGTATTGAGACATCTCTACACCACCCAGTAAACAACTTCCAGATTATCATCTGAAATACAGGCAGAAGCATATACATTCCTTTAAAAAAAAAACATGCAGTGGCTTCCACTGTGTTTATAACATAGCTTAAGTCTGTGCGACTGTGTAGACAGTGCTAGTCAAACCAGCAGTCTTGGCGTTACCTGTGAGCTTGTCAGAAATGCAAATATGGACCCACTCTGACCTACTGAACCAGATCATCTGGGAACGAGGCCCATCAATTTTATGAATTTTAATCAGTTTCTTCAGGTGCTTCTTATGCACATCAGAATATAAGAATTACTGACACATAAGAGTAGCTAGCCTACAAGTGTACTTACAAACTATTCTCAAGTCATATTGGATGTTCCTGACCAATATGCTAACGCCTTCCTACCCCATTTATTCACCATACACTTAGTAGCATTAAACCAGATACACTCACCTCTTTAAAGGCCTTCAAGCCTACTGCCTACAGTACTTCTTGCTTTTCTTCTCTGTTCCCTCCACAACTGTCCACCCATCTAATCCTACACTTTCTTTAGATTAGCTTAAATACCAATTCCTTTAGGAAAGCTTCCATAACCCGTACAAATCAGAATTAAAAGGATAAGCCATAGTATTTCACTTGTGCTCTTACAAACCACCTCATTCATTTCATAGTTGTCAGATGCCCTCCAATATCCATAACTAATTTGACAGCAAATATTCCCTTGTCTGCCACCATCCAAACCCTATCTGCCCCATGCCTGAAAGTTTCCTATATGTAAGAGTTACTTGTAAGTGAAAACAGAAACATAATATCCATGAATCACACATACCTTTAAGGAAATTATAATGTGGTAAATTATAAAGAGCATAAAAATATATTAGCTGCAAATATGTATTTTTTTATTCTATAGCATATATATTTTAATTATATTTTACATATAGAAAGTATCACTTCTGTCCCGGAAGTGTAACAAATAAAAAGTAGAAAGTTAATTTTCTACAAAAAAATTTTGTAATGACCTAAGAAAAATATACTTACCTGCTGAAACCCCAGGTAATCTTGTATAGTAGAAGAAGCATAAAAGACCAAAGCATCTGTAGTGACAACCAGCACAAAGCCATTCAGAGCCTAAAAGGAAAAAAGTTACAAAATTAATAATGTGAAAAAAATTAATGTAATTAAATAATACTGTCACCCATAAATACTGACTCTTGTTAAGGCTGTTCCTTTTACTGATGAAAAATCTTCAAAATGGGGACAGTTACTACACCCCACAAACGCAGAAACACCACATCCCCCAGTAATGAGAAGAATCTATTCACACCGTTTGATCTGGCCAAAGAAAAGCTTAGAGCTTAATTTAATACTAGGTCATAATAACTTTAATAGAATATTGATTTCTTCTTTGTACTTTAGATTTCCTGTTTTAAATATATTGTACGTGTTTTTTAAACATAAATTGTATAAACAGCATTTACTGTAATCTGTCACACTGCTTTTTAAAGGATGTAGTGTGTTAAGATGCTGATTAGAACCGTAAGAGAAATTTAATAGGAGAAAATCTCTGTGCAAAGACAGTTTGAGCGCTGGTGGAGTCTGAAGTCTGGATACTCAAAGTATTATAATACATTTAAAAACTTTTTATGGTAAAACAAATATACAAATGTACTATACATAAAATACATAAAATATACATGTAATGCAAATATATACATGTAAGACAAGTATACAGTAAGTGTAGTCCATTTAAATTTAATATAATTACTAATATATTTAGGTTTAAAGCTATCATTTTGTTATTTCTATTTGTTTCACCTGTAGTCTACTGCTTTTTTTTCCATTTTGCCTGCTTTCCGCCAATTAATTTTTGACTTTTTCTTTCCTTATTTTAGTTTAGAAATTATACTCTCTAATCCTTTTATTCAAGTCCAATGTTAATATCTATGTACTCTAATAAAAGTATTTAGATTACCTTAAACATTAGTTGTTATCACATATTTTCATTCTAAAGCACTCAGTATTTCCTGTTTGAGTTCAGTTCAGTACTTACTCTACTCTTTGCTACGTCATCACGGTTAAACCTTTCTGAAACTCTCTTCTTCGTGTAAAAGGAGATGTGGTGTGGTTTAGTAATAAGAACCCTACAGTTTGGAATCAGAATTCGGACTGGACTCCTCTTTCTGTTTCTTACTTGTCTGTGTGGCTTTGTTATTTACTCCTTGTAGCTTTAGTGTCGTTTGAAAAATAGGGGCTTTATCAGATGAATATGACGACTATGTCTCACATGTACCTCAGTGCCTGGTACAGAGCTGGCACTCAGTTAATGCAGGGGCCGTGCTTTGTGCACTAGAAAGAAGTACATAAATGATAGGAAGTAGCTTATTCAACACTTAATAATTACATACCAAATAGGACACATGCTAAGGACTGCGATTCAAAAATTAACAAGACATTGCCCTGTGCTAATGATGCTCCCAGTCTGGCAGATACCTCATTGTTCGACGAGGTACAGAAATACAGTGGCTGTCTTCTTTTCGCTCTAATTCCTTTCACCTTCAAGATCCTTGGTCTATATTACACTTCTGAAACTAGATTACAAAGACAACAAACAGCACCTACTATATAAAAGCCACTTTTCTAAAGGATTTTTATGTATTCAAGTAGCAATCCAGTGAGGTCAGTGCCAAACTAAGTTATTCACTCAGTTCACTGGGTAGAATTGAAAATTATTATGTAATAGTAGTAACACAGATTATAGCACACATCTTCATTCTACCTTTCTTAACAAAATATGTACCTGAGAATTTTAACTGAGAATCAAGCATCATACATATCCAAGAGAAAGAAATAGAGAAAAAAAAAGATTCAAGGGGGAGGGTATAGCTCGGTGGTAGAGTGCACGCCTACCACGCACAAGGTCCTAGGTTCAATCGCCAGTACCTCCATTAAAATAAATTAATATAAACCTAATTACCTCTTTGAAAAAAGATTTCAAATACTTTTACAGACAAATCTTTTACTAGAAACTCTCCAGTGTTAAAGCATGACAATAGGGCTTACAGTTATTGAAAAATCTATTGCACGTTGATTAAGTCACACACAGCTGCTAAAAGAAAACAGTTACAAGAAAACAATGAAAAACAAAGTTCAGGTTAAGAACAATTTCAAACTACTAAATAAAACTATTTTAATAGAGCTATATTCCTAAAAAGTAAGTAAATCCAATGTCTTAAATGAGAACCTTTAAATTAATCTAGGAGTCCTTACTATTTAAAGAAATGCCAACAGGGGAAGTGACAACTAGACCTCTAATAAATCTGCTCCATACAATTCCATTTTTTCATGTACTTGCATTAAACCACTATTGCAGGTTTGATGAAAGTGGCATGAAACACTTGGTGAGTCCTAAATAAACTGGAAATAATGAAAAGGCTGTTAATTTCCCATTTACAATTGTTCTAATGATAAGAAACCATGTTTACTACAACTTACCTGTAGTAAGAATTCTCCTTCCTGCAAGTTCAGGCTGTCTCTGAATTTTGTTCTACAGTTATCCTGGACTCCATTTCTGTCAGCTGGGGAGGACTTCAATGCAACTATGAAAAAAAAAAAAAGGGAAAAATAATGATACGGTAGTTAGTTTTTAAAATAAGCAATTTCAAATAGCTATAATAAAAAACCTCTGTGCACCAAAGAGACAATCTGAAAAATTCGTATCCACTGGTACTACAATGACTAAAATTCTTTGCCAATGGGTGGTTTCCAAAGTCAGCTGACAGATTCTCAAAAACAATTTTTGATGAGTTCATGAAATGATTTTCGGCCTATAACTTAAGGGGTTTCAAAGAATTACACAACACTGCTAAACATTCCCCTGGATCCTGTTTATTTTTGAGAACTAGGTTCCTCAGAACATAACCTACAATATTTTTAATATCTATATAATATACTAGTGGCGGTGAGGAGAAAGAAGTAACCAAATGCTTTATTAAGAAGTGTATTTCCACTAGATTTAGGATCCTCTTGTCTAGTTCTAGGGTAAAAAAATTGTTAGTATATTATTATCAAGTTCATATTGATAAAACACTTCATGGAGAATGAACATCTTTATGATGTTGAGTCAGTCCATCCAAGAACATGTATGTTTTCCCATTTGTTCAAGTCTATATTTCTCGCCCCACTAGAATGTTTTACAGTTGTCCATAGAAACATTTTTTCATGTGTATTTTCATGTTTGTTCCTAGGTATTACATCTGGTAAAGTGGCTTCTCTTCCCTAATGCTTTTCTACCTGTGGGCTGTACACAGGAGAGCCTGCGGGCATGGCGGGTGGGCTGTAGTGCCGTATCTCCGTGTGTGTGTGTGTGTGTGTGTGTGTGTGTGTGTGTGTGTGTGTGTGTGTGTGTGTGTGTGTGTGTGTGTGTGTGTGTGTGTGTGTGTGTGTGTGTGTGTGTGTGTGTGTGTGTGTGTGTGTGT